TGAGCCCAGATGCTGACAGCTCCATCCAGAATCTCATAGATGTCTGGAGTGCTCAGGCCAGACCTCATGCTTTGAGCAGCCTGCCCGCTGTATTGGCCTTGCAAATAGCGAGATTCACGGACCACGGGGATAAATGTCCAGGCACGATCTCCCCCGACTGGAGTTTTGCCGTGCCCTACTATAGGAATGACGGGATTGACATAGAGCATGCCTTGTACAGGGTTACGGCAATCATTTACCACATAGGGGAAAGCATACTGCAAGGTCATTACCGTGCTGTCTTGTTTGAAGACGGAATGCCAGCACATCACACCGATGATGGACGCAGAGCCGTTAAGCCTAGACCTCGGGATCTCAGTCTAATACTCCGCAATTGCTATGTTATTTTTGCAGTAAAGAGCTCGTAATCAACAGCATTCTGCAAGCAAGACTGAACATCAGTCTCCTTGAGGAAACATGTTGAAGCAGTCAATTCAGCCAGGAAAGCCTTGTGTGAAGCAACCAAGATACACGGTCTGTAACCTAGATACATGGCTCCATGTCTGATTGCCAAACATTAGGCACTTATTATTGATCAGTCCAGGCTTTCATGGCTGATGTAGAGTAGCTTGCGTATGGGGCCTGTCGGGCCGGAGCTACTCTTTTTGCTTGCCCAACAAACTTGGGAGGACCCTCAAGAAAAGCTTGAGGTTGTCAGGACGCAACGCAGGACTCTTTCTGCGGCGGAGGAAGAAGATCATCGTCATTGGGGGTTTGCTTCCCCAATCTGAGGGTTCTGGGCTGACCGCCCTTACCCTTGCCCTGCGCGCTTCCACACTGCCTGTTTTGCCCGCGACTGGGAGCATCCCGTCAGATCAACAAGATTTTGGGGATGTTGAGGCGTCCCGCAACGCTAGAGAGGGTTTGGAGCAATTTTTCCGGCCAGCATACTCAGCACATCTCAGCACAATGGGGGCCTAGAGCTTTGGAGGGGTGATGGACCCTACAGTATATGCGCAGCATCAATCCTGGGCCAAGACAGGCAAAGCGTGCTGTAGGCAGTATCTCTGGGCCTCTTGCACGGGTTTCCAGCACTTTGGAAGCTCCCATGCTAAGGCTGTACACCACTTTAACCTAGTAGGTATGTCAAAATGTTGCTTCTGAATTGCAAAGATGGAAAATGCGGGCCAAGACATGCTACGCTTGGGCAAAAATCTATGTTCAGAGCCCTTTGCATGTCTTTCGTGGAGTTGTACCCCTTCACAGTCCCAGTTAGAAGATTTGGTGTTGAGGCTTAAATTCCGGACTTTAGGGCACCTGAAAAAGTTGAAGCTGAGCATAGCCCTCATAGCATAGCCTTCATATTTGTAAGTTTGCTGTGAAAGCAGCTGGGCGAAGCTCATTCAGCCCCAGTTACTGAGCCTCGCACTGAAAGAAAGCGTTTAAAAGGATTTGAGTGAAAGAAAATCTCGTAAAACTTAGGAAGGGTTTTGCGTGGGTAAATTTCTGGGATCTGTATTGCGCGTCCCCCCCCCTCCGTCTGCGAGCATCACGTGGGCATTATCCTGTGGCTTGGGGGATTGCCTGAACAGTCCATGTACATCCCAAGAGCTTGAGGCAATACTCACACGGTCATCCACCTCCTGCGCTCGCTTCAACAGCGCTTCGGAATCCTTCGCCTCGACCAGAAGATCCAAGTCCTGGTAGCTGCCAACTTACTAGAAGCCGCAGCTGTGGCAGTAGCGGAATTCCCTGCCACGTTAGCAGCAGTGATGGCGGCAACCGCAGCAGCAGCAGCAGCAGCAGCAGCAGCAGCAGCAGTAAGACTAGAAGTAGTAGTCGTCGTCGTGGTGATCGCGGTCGTGATCGCGGTCGCGGTCGTGGTCGCGGTGGCGGTCGTGGTCGGGCTCGTGGTGGTGGTGGCAGTGGCGGTGGCAGTGGCGCCACCTCGCCAGCAATAGGACTGATAATGATTTAGTAATACTGCTGGGGACTGCTCAAAATGTGAAAGGCAGGCCTCACGCAGCTTGCTAAGATCCTGCCATGATGAGGGGCTAGTTGCCGGATCCACTGACCTCGCTGCAAAGACAATGTTTTTCCACTGCTCCTCTTGTTGAACATAGGATCACTTTTGGCCGGGATTCTGTCCTGAATCCTATGCAAATTCAGAAAGTATTGTAAATGCTGAAAACCTGGGGTCGGCAACCTCCACAGGCGCTTCCAAAGCAATACGCGGCCCGTGGTGCTGCGGACACTTGCCGGGACGATCTGCAAGGTGCAAGAGGCTGCATGGAAGAGATTTGAGTCTTGCAGATGGGTCCATGCAGCTGTTCTCATCCTGCTGCCTTGGCGGAGCCTAGGCGGAGCTTGCGAACAACTTTGCGCAAGTTTTCGTAGACGGTCCTGGCTGCATTGACGAGCTGAGCAACACCTTCATGACGCACAGCAGAATCAAGCCCGCCGGCAGGGCTCCGCATCCTTCTTCGTCCTCATCAGATCAATCTTTGTGATCACCTGAGAAGGCTGTCGAAGCACATGAAGCAGATCTGCCACGGAAGGTACATCTGAGCGCTGCAACCAAGGTGTAGTCGAGATTGAACTTGCTCCTGTGGTTGAGGCACATCTCCTGAGTCCAGACAAAGCCCTGGACGTAAAGGGAGAGTTTGAGATGCCACTATTCGCCATTGCAGCCAGGGTTCCATCACTGAAATATCTAGAGGAGAAGGTTTTTCGCGGCGCAGCAGCACCTCTAAGGCTTCCAATTGCTCATGCCAGCTGTCTCTAGTCAGATCTTGCTTGTGGCCTCGCAGCTGATGAGGTGGAAGACCTGACGAAGAGTCGGGCCCCGTTCTTTCAGGTACCTGCAAGCACCAGCACACTCCTCCCAAGTAGCATGCGCACACCAAAAGGACGTCCGTTGGAGCATGCTATTCCAACAACGACTGCCATGCAGGCTGGGCGCACAAATCGAGAGTCCGCCTCCAGTGCCTCATTCAAGCACAAACCGGACAAGGTCTCTGCAAAATAAAGTGTTACGGGGCACAGCGGTAGCAAACAGGAACCTGAAAAAATTTAACTGGCAGACTCACTTATTCACTGTTCAGATTCCTCGGCCATCTAGGGCCCATGCCTCGTCTGGACTTCATCTGCCATTGCCTCACCGAGGCCTGGCACCTGTACGATTGTTGAAAGGGGATGTATGCAACATGCAAGCTGGGAACGAGGACAGGCCAGGAACACGTCTACCAAGGTCATTTGCCGAAATGCGGCATTCTGCTCATTGATGGTGTAGAAATGGAACTGTGTCCTTGTGTAAACCCACAGCTCTCCATGCCAGGAGAGCATCCGTGAGCTGAGGATGGTGCGTCTTCCCAGGCATCTTCGACACTGGGGCCACAGCCTCAGCTCCCCTCCCGCATAAGACTGCTTTATCTACAGAAAACAGCACTCAAAATCGTCCCCAAAAGATCCTTGACAGCTGGCCGTTCGATGGAGGAGGGAATTGATCAAGGAGCTTTTGCCCACGTTGGACCTGACTGTCGCGAAGGTCTATTTGCTGAATGCACGTTTTCTCACAATGCCCATCTTGGCAACTGGCCAACCGACAAATACAACCTCCGGATATCGAGCTGGAGGCATGGTGTGGAACCTCAGCAGAGATGCGCAGGCGATTTATGCCTGCTGCTGAGCCTGCGCTGAGTCAATGGCGAGTCCACGAGACCACTGAGGCTAACGGTAGCCACCTTCCAGACTTCCAGCTTCAAAGACTTTGCACCATGCTTCCCTCCCAGATGGCCGGGGCTAAGGGATGCGCTGCTGCCCTTGCAATGAACTCGGTCGTTCCATGGTCCTGCCAGATTGGGTCGCATATCTTCATGGACCTTGGAAGATCCCTTAGCGAAACCACAAATGAAGAATGGACGTGCAGAGCGAGCTCATGAAAGCATCCAGTCCGCTCGAACCCAAAATGCTCGCATTGCGTCGTAAACCTCTGCGAGATTTCTCAGGCTGTCTTCAATGCTAGCACTCAAACAGACTAGGCAAACTACAAGTCAGTGATAGAAACTGCTGCGAACCGTACCCAGAATCAATCCCATGGCCAGCCTGGAAGACATCTGGCATGCTGCGCCGCTTTGCGACTAAACGAATCTGGCAGCTGTTGCATTCAGCTTTTCGGCCATCGCATGTCTGGATTCTGCAAATGTGCTGCAAATGCAGACCTTGCCAACATTCAGAACATGCAGACCTGCAACAGAAATCTCCCCGGGCACCAGCGTATTCCAGCGTTGCACGATCTTCGGCTCATCGTTCCACCCCTCGTTTGCAATGTAGGACAAATTTGCCAAGCAAGTGGCTGCGTCGACTGAGGGCACAGCCCCGATTGCGTTGCCAGAGCCAAAGTGGGACATATTCGCCTGCACAGAGGGAGGTCAAGCCAAAAATGCACTGCGGCCAACAGATGTCAAGAAATGACACTCGCCCAGTCCTCCTTCAGATGCCATTCTTCAGCTAGCTCGGGTGCAGAACCTTTTTAGCTGTGATGGGCCGAATGCATGCTCCAACCGGGTTGAGATGCAGTGAAATGCGGAATGGCGGGATCATGGCTGTCCTGACAGCTCTGTCTTTCTTTATTCTCAAGTTACTCAACTTTTTGAATAATACCCCTGAACATGCTTAGGGGTTGACGTAAGCGTACCATGGCCTCCTCGAAGGCATTGTCAGCTTCTGCGCAAGGCGGAGGGTGGAGGACAAAGGGACAAAACCAGGCACACATGTCAATGACGCAAAACTTGCTTGTTTCCGCTCTGCTTAGCACCCTCTGCTGCCGGACCTCGAGCACACACCTCGGCTGCGTGTCCTTTGAGAACCACACATCCAGCCAAACTTACATAGTTCCAGCTTTAGCTTTGAAAAGCACAGCCAAAGGATGCTCAAATCAAACACAGGTGCTGACCGGCCCAGATTCAGAACAATTGTCTCTAAAGACGAGCAAAAGCGAAGATTCTCGGCGAACATGAAGCTCAAGGATCCACAGCCTTCAGAATGGAGTGCCAAAGCCGAACTCAAAGTGACACCAAGCATCTCACTTGTGCCTCAGGTGTCTTCTGCTGCCCAGGAGGCTGCATGGTGCCATAGCCAGGGTCCTGCGAACGGCTTCGCACTGACATGAAAAGCCTCTTCAAATTCTTCGCTTCCGTGGACGGACCTCTGGTCCTGCCATTGACTTCCACAGTGCACTCCCATCAGCTGCCTGCCAACCGAACGCTTCATAGAAAAACGCAAAGCGCTCGGCGGCGGTATGCATGACTGCATGGCAAGATTGAGTCTTCTGATACGCAGCCTGCCGCTTTACCACCTCTTTTGCGGACATCCTGGTGAAAAGAAAGCATCGGCGACCAAGTTTTCAGAAAAAAGTCGGCAGCCTCGCAAACTAGAGTTACATGCAACCATGGCTCTGGTTGACCTTATAGTACCCGCCAAAACAGCAGAAAGGAAACATAGCCGCAGGTACCCATACCATTCCACTATCCTCCGTATTCCTCAGGTCAAGTAAGTGCTAAGAAGCGACAGCAGGCAAGCAAAAGGATTTGGTAGGAGCCAACTGAGACAACGTCCGGCTGCTCTCGCCGTATTCGGAAGCGAACCACTGAACAAGAATCGCTATGCCTGCTTTCCGTGTATACAGGAGGTGCAGCTTGCAAGCACATCGCGCAAGTTGTGGTCACTGCGACTCATCATCTTGCTCATCATGGAAACTTGCTGCATCCTTCCACTATGGAAACCAAGGAGATTTCCATGACAGCTGCTAGGCCTGCGTTTGTATAAAGGAGGAACGTGAGAATGATCGCCATGATCACGTCCACGGTGTAGTGAAAATGGTTGATCACAATCAAGTACAAATCTGCTGCAGTGCAACCCAGCGCGAAGATGCCTTGAAATCTTGTGTTAGCCAAAGGTCTGTGAATGCCTGCAACATGTGAACCACCTGCTTTGCACCCTTTCCAGAGAATATCTACACAAAAGGCTTCTCTGCCAAACAGCGATAAAATCATCCAGGGCTCCAAAAAAAACTTGGCAGATTTCTCCTCAGCAAAACTGGGCTGTCCCATCTGTCTTACTCACATGTTGAAATTGTGCAAGGTGCTTGATGCAAAGAGTCTTTTTGGAGATTCCATGAGCAGCGTCGAGCGCTGCACAAGATCGGCTACAGCCAGCAAGTACAGCAACATGACCTCTGCAGGTTGACCCCAGAAAGGAAGGAGGAAGTGGCTGCACGGCAGCAAACAACATCCAGAATCCAGGCAAGGTGCAAAGGTGTGGCCACTCAACAACATGTCTGCACAATATCGGACTGGCCATTTCCCCGCGACGCCCCGGAGCTCCAGGGAGACCATACCATCGAAGAACTCCTGACCTCAACTGTCAAACATCAGCATTATATGAGCTTCACGGAAGACGGCTTCACGGATGGAAGCAAACGCGCGGCCAGGCTGCCGTTCAGCGTTCCCAGCCTTTCGAACTCTTTCAATGGAGCTTCTCCTAACCTGATAAGTCCCAGGCGGCATGGCATCACTGAACTTCCCAAACAGACGCACATGAGATGACTCAAACGGCATGAGTGTTTCGCGAAATGCTTGCGGTGAATGGCCTGGCCGCGCACTCAGCCATCCCAATTGAGTCGGGCAGAATAGTCGCATAGTCGAAAACTCCTTGACATAGTGAGGCTTCATGGAACATGTATGCAGCTCAGGCCCACGTTTACCTGCACACTGCATCAGCCATGAGCAGGCGGCCTTTCATTACAAACATCATCCCGTTGCAGAAGAACAACTTGCTCCACGTCCTGGCATGCTGCAATCCACTTCCAGTGGTTTGGGAGTAATATGAGGAAATCTCCAGAACGGCTCCTGAGGTCTCGAAGCAGCAGTGCTCCGACCATGAAACCCAGGAGAACACCACAGGAGATCATGTCGAGGATTTTCCTGAGATCATATTCGCCATAGCAGTACATGCAGAAAGACTGAATGGTTCGCTCTGTGTTTCCTTGCGACAGCTATCTGAAGGCGGGGCCTATCCATAAATGCAAGGCTGGCAGCATTGGCACAGGAGCCTTGCCCAGATATGCATGGCCTGAGACAGCTCCAAATGTACCCGCTTCGACGTCAGGACCGGGACTTCGTGTTGCCTATGTCCTCCGGAAGCGGTTCCTTGTGCATGTGCAGGTTTACCTGGCTGCGTTTGGCACAGAAAACTAGAGTTCTACTACCTTTCCGCACAACGTTCTCTGTGCGAAGCTCGGGTGAAGGCATACTTCACCGTTGTGAGGTGCAGCAATACCTAAACAAACGCAGCGGAGAGCTCTGATAAGGCAGCAAACCATCAACCTTCTGCCTGTTAGTCAAAGCCAGGTAGCACTCTGACAGCAGAAGCAGAGAAAGCACACAAACATTGGAAAAATCCTCAGATAGTCCAATAACTCTGCCACATGTCCCTGTCTTGCCTGACTGCTGCCACGGCACCATTTCAGAAAAAGCTTTGGATGCCTGGCTTCCAGTCAGAATCTCCCCACACGACATGTACCCCTCTAACAGACCAAGTTGAGTTAGCTACGCTCTTTCAGAAATAATCTCAGCGGCTTAACTGGCATCAGCACAAGCTCTTGGAGGGAATCTGCAACAGATGGAGCAGGAGACCTCATCATCGCTCGTCTTGGTCTACTTTATCTGGAAATGCGAAGAAGGGCAACCGCTTCATCTCCCTTTTGAAGCTGTTGTCGAGCGTCGACATGCAGAAATTGATTTGAGCAATCTGCTGGCAAGCGGCTCAGAAGACATTGTGAACAGAGGACGATGCTAGGCCTCGTCCGATGGCAGTTGCTGTTGCGAAACTGCGTGACCAACTCTAGCTACAACCGCCGCGTCCTTCTAACCTTTGCCGGCTCAACTAATTCGAGTGACTATTGGTTAAGGAACTCGAGCGTTGACTGTCTGCAAAAGCGGACAGAAGGACCTGACCTGCAAACAGCAGGCAGGTCAACATCGCAAACCGCGGCAGACTGCGGCAGACTGCCCTATGCTGAAGTACCCCTCCTGGCCTGGAAGTTAGGACGTGTCAAGCAGGCTTGAACACTGTTGCTGCAAAACTGCTCATGCAACCCAGCTGGAGTTTCATCTTGATCACAGCATGAAAAGGAAGCTTCATTGCACAAATTGTCACGAAGCTAGCATGGGGTGCCGGGACCTTGCCGGACCTGGCCAACAGCCTGCCACAATTGCAGTTTGAGGTGGCCGAGCAACATCGAGCCTCAACCTCAATTTTGGCAGCCTCGCGTTCTGCATCCGACTTCGGCCATCGCGCCCTGCGGACAGCACTGTTATAAATTCTGAGGTTCAACAGTTTGGAGCTTCAACGAAAAGATCAAGGTGCAGCTTTGGTCAGGATTGCGAGCAGAGAGTGGATTTTCTTATCTGGAGATGGAGCCGAAACTTGCCCAAGAAACAACAAGAAGCGATCCTGGCTTGCGGACTCTACCAGCAACTTTGGAGCCGCGAATTTTTAAAGTCTTGGTTCCCTAGACCATCCATGTGTGGCAGGACCTTCTGCGGAGCGGCCGAGCAAATTCCCTGCCTGTCCAGCAGATTCACGGCACGTTGCGCCTGTGTCATAGGCCAACAAGCGAGCGTAGGGCTGCAAACTACGCTCAGTCCACCAACATGCTAGCAACACGTCTAAAATGGCCAGCTGAGTGAGCACTTCCAGTGCTTGTCCTTGGTCTGTCAAGCTGCGGCGAGAAGCATCGAAACTTGAAAACAACATTGGGTCACTTTGGGCCAAAGGGCGAGGGCGCCCTCCAGCTAAAAGTTCAGACAGCTGCTCCTGCCCGGAGACTCAACAAGTTGTAAAAAGAATTCCTCGAATTGTAGTCCTCAGCTATGGTCTTGTCGATGGCTTCGTTGGAATCCTGGCAGGACAAGAACGCGCTGCACCTTTAGGATACAACGAATGCGACACGCACTGCGGTCCTTGTTAATGCGAAGCGCTGCATCTGCCAAGGAAACTGCAGCATCTGCCCAATTCCTGATCAGAGTTCTAGCTTCATGTCATCTTAGCTTCAGCTGTGGGGTGCTTGCTGATTTACATCTGAAAACTCCTACATGAGGCTACTGTCTGACTACGGATTTCCGTTCCTTTCTAAGAACCTCTGGCCATCCACAGGGACTAGAGCGCCATCGTGCTTTTCGGCACGCAACCCTGCAGCCAAGCTAGATTCACAATTTCCAGCAGGTGTGTCGTTCATGCTTCATTCCAATAGCGGCAACTTTGCCAGGCAGCATGGCGGGAGACAGAATTGGGATGTTTGCAGGGAGGGGTTGCTTCGCTGCTTTGCATTGGGAAGCTCGGTACAATTTGGAGTTCACACATGTTTCAACCGGTCCGAATATTGCGGGTGTCTGCTGGCTGCGCAAGCTGGCAGCTACCTTTGCCCAATCTGGTTGCCACTGCTTTCTTCACACCGCCAGACCAAAGCTTCACACCAAGAAAACAATACTTCCATCTCCCTCCTCCACTCTTGGTCAGCAACACTCTCGAGGCCACTGGCTGGGGCTGGTGCTTTGGGGCAATTCGCTGCCTGGCATTTGGCACGCCATTAGGTTGTGCTGACAGCATGCAGACTATGCTAGTCTTAGATCATGCATCCACAATTTGCAGCTTCGATTGCATTGCTCTGGGAAAGAGGATAAAGATCAACAAAAAACACGATCCGAACCATCGTGGCATCGGGCGCAATGGGTTTTGACACGCAGGTCAGTAGAGCTTTGGTCCTGCATGCGCAGGGACTTCGCTGAGTCGTAAGGCAACAGTCGGCCTTTGTGAGGTTTCTGTATGAAACATGTGCCAAGCCAAAGATGCCAGCGAAGTCATGGCATTATCAACCAGAGTCGGGCGGGGCATCTTCAAACTTCGTGGACTCATGGGCTGCTGCTCCATACAGCTGTGTAAAAGCATGCTATCTCTTCTGGCACTACTTAGATGCCTCCTTTCAGCGACAGAACCGAAGACTTAGCGATGAGTCCAGTGGAAGCCAAAGCCGCATTACTTTACTCATTAATTGGAGTACTGCAACTGCTTAACCCACAGTGGACCTGAAAATGAGTGATGACTGATGACTCAGTATTGTACTAGTCTATAACCTCAAAGATTTCAGGCGGGCGCCCCTGCTACGTGCTGCTCGCCACCTTGTGCAATGAACTTTTAAAAGATCATGAGGGGTGAAATGATGACACTTTCGGCTCGAAGGTGCTTGAAACCAATAACCATCTGTATTCAAAACGTTGATCAACAGCTGGAGTTCCTTGGGAAGACTGGTATGGGACCGGCTGAGTGCCATCCTAATTGAAACACTCGTTGAAGTCAAATTCGACGTCACCTGAGGGATGACCGAGCGTTCCGTCTCAGGTTCCATCAAACGCTACTGAAGCTCTCTCATGCGCACACTGGTGGCAGAACGATCCTTTCATATCAACATTGTTTTCACGTGTGCTGTGCGAACTTCTGCCACCAGCTTGGCGATCCAGTACGTAAGAACAAGCATCTTGCTTGAAGGACGCACATGTCGGATCCTGAAAGGTGACAGCTTTTTGCTGCCGGGGAACCCTTCCTTTTCAGCCCGCATGCTGTACAGTTCCACAGCGCCTGGCAAAATGAGTCAATTCAGTGGTGCCCACCTCCGCCCCGAGTTGCAAAATGAGCAAGAACTTCAAAGGCAACATACTTGTCGCGAAGTTAAGATTCTTCCCACAATCGTGTGAAGACTCATCACAAACTCCAAGCAATCACGGACCTCTCTTCTGCATAATATCAGGATCAATTCGCTGAGGCCGGTGGTTTGGAGCACCCCACTTGCCACTTCCAGGACACCCCGAGCTGCGGCGCCCCGAGCCCACTCCCTTTTCGTGAAGTTGTTTGGATCAAGTGGGCTCAGTAGGCTCCAGTCAGTTCTCCTCATTTCTCCTCCAAATTTAAGGATGCGCTGTTGGGACCCCACCCATGCCTCAACTGGACCTCAACGAAAACAGGACGCCTCATTGATGACAGAATAGTTCTTCCCCGGCCATCCGGTCCCCCGGCCATCCGGTCCCCCGCGTTCGCGGTTTAAGCATGTTAGGTGGCCTGATACTGATACAGGATGATCCCGTCAAATTTGACATCGCCTCTGCTGGCTTCGTCCAGCTAGTGCACGCCCGCCTTCCAAACAATTCTGTCAGATGACCTTTTGTCTTAGCAGATCGTGCAAACACAGTTTATGGAGCTGGCAGATTACTGAGCCAGACACTTCGCGAGGCTTTTCCATTGCACACACATGACCTGCAGTAGCCATGAGCACATGTCAGCCCAACAGCAAGCTGCACGGACCAAGAAGACAAGATCCACCGTCAAGGTGGCCAACCATACACTCAATATCAACTGAAACTTTGACTGTCTGTACTTCAGCTTGAGTAGCAGAACTTGGCATCAATGACAAAGACCGAACCACCTCGGCCATATCACGAGTTACTCAGATAATGGCTGGAACATGAGGAAGATCTGCAAAGGCCTTGATATCGCTTCTCTGTAAGCTTTGCCGGAAGCGTCTACTGCAGTACTGTCTGCTCATGTTGGTGCCAAGACACAAGAAGGGCACTTTTGATGGATCTCCTTAATTCCAACCAAAGTTTAAACCAAGCCAAGCAGTTTGCCAAAGCTCCAAAAAAAATGGCAATAATAAGTGGGTAGCACTTGTTGAACTTATGACACGATCCTTGAGGTTGAGGGCTGCCACTGACACCCAACACAGCCAAGACACGAGTGATTTTTTGATCAAGTAAAGGCGCCAGGCTGGAATCATCACCTCAAATCATAGGGGGATATTAGGGTTTTATGGGGCTATATAGGGAGAAAATAAAAAGGAAACTACTATTTAGGGTTTGTACTGCAGAAACTTGGCCTGCAACTGTGAAGGCTGCTTCTGCAGTACATATGGCCCTACACGCCCCTTTGTCGCGGCCTGTTGTTACAAACCTTTGTCGCAAGTGCGTGGTACAGGCATGCCCCACAAGAAAGGCTTGTCAAAAAAGTTCTTCTTGTAAGCCAGGAGATTCTGTTAAAAGCCTATGTGGCGGAAGGACCGCCCAAGCCTCTTACAAACCCAGTGTTCTGATTCAGATTCACAGCCACATGTTGTCCATCGCAGGCATTTTGTCTTTGAATGGCGCTCTTAGATGCAGCCAGCAAGCAACCGCAACTGCAGATGCAACGAATAGCCGTGCCCAGACCGGGTACCAGGATCCCAGATGCTCGGTGAGCGATCCTGCAGAGGGAGTTCAGCTTTCACGTTTTGAACCAACAAAGACTCTCATTCCAGATGTACACATGCTGGAATGCATGAATAGGTCTGCAGCATCCCATTCAAGCAGGCTGTCGTGTGTAGCCAAGGCGCCGATTGTGGCCACACCAGCATCAAAAGACCTGAAGCTTAGGGGGGGCATCCAAAGGAGTGGAATTTGCTGGCAGCTGCAGATGCGACAGCAGCAGCAACAGCAAGAGCAGCAGGCAGCAGCAGAAGCAGCAGCAGCCGCAGCCGCCGCAGCAGCAGCACCACCACCACCACCACCACAACTACCAAGGAATCACAGAATCACGTGAGCAGTTGTAGCCCCGAGCAATTCGGTTAGCCAAGACTCTGTTCCCAGGCGAAGCCGACACAGACGCCAATAGCCTCGATTGTTCTCAAGCTGCATCTTGAAAGTCATAGTTGTAAGGGCGCTGCTCAGCTTTCCCAATCGGCAGAGCAAAA